TTAAATTCCTCTTCTCCCCTGGAGAGTCATTCAGCGAGTATAGATTCGAAACTGAACGCCGCTAGCCTTGATATGGAATCGCAAGTTTGTCTTTACAAGTAACCTGTAATACTTCACGGCAGAAATACAGGGTTATTCCTATATAACAAAGGTTGAAAATAGTCTATATTGATCACATTTCAGCCTGTCGATCGCCCTAGGTTACCTCCATGTACTGTCGACTGTAGCTTGCTAAAAGGTGTGTGAACCAATTCTTATTTTATTGTTACGTTTAAGTAGTAGTCGTACACTGCATTATGTTCTAATCCATTTTCTATCCTTTTAAGGAGAGATAGAATGTGCCTTTTGTGAAGAATGTTCCTTTGGATTCTCTTTTTTGGAAAACACATTTGGACGGGTTGTATGTACGAATTTCCGCCTCCGCTTCGAGCCAGTGGCTAAGCCTGAGGTCAGTAATTAATAATTTTCTGCTACCAAAGTTTTTTTTATGATTGTCTTAATTTACAGGACGATTTAGCGCCACGGTTCAAGCCATTTCATGAGAGATGGGATATTCCTCTTTGTTCAATTCATTCTATATTTTATGCACCTGTGAAGCGTCAGTAACCTTCCGGTTTTTTCTGAATAAATTTGGCCCTGACGACTTTACTATTATCAACGGAGACTCTTTGCAGAAAACCAATCGTTAACAAAGAAAAAGTTCATTCCTGCAACGATTTCTATTTCTAGTTTGGAGGTTGTTTCCTGTATTAGGCTTCACCTGAAGGTAAGAATTTCGAGGTCTCTTAGTGTGATGTTGTGACCATTCACTCATTTCCATTCTTATTTGGAATGCATTCCTCATTTGACTTGATTTTTAAGGATTTCCGGATAGCAACGATTGATTTGCGTGGTTCTCAGAATGGTGTTAGTCTGCTTAATCAAATCCTGTTTTTCTCTCGCCCTCTGAAAATCGATAATATTGTTCAATCAGGAGCTGAGGTCGAATGGAGAGGGAAATGTGAGTTCAAGGGCACCATAATGCATATTTTCACAATTTGTGCTGACTCGCTTTCCGCTATTTTACGTTAGCAGATCCGTATTGACCTTTTTCTTTAGTTTTCCTCATTTCCCAGCATGATTAGAGCAGGTGGAAAAGAGTGGGAGTACGTTGCCTGCTCGAAAACGCAGCGATTCATGTTGATTTCATATGCCCACTTGGGAAGATCTTCTTCTGTCCCCACTTGGGAAGATCTTCGAAATTCTTCTGACTGCTTCTCCGAGCAATGCTCTAGTGTCGCCATATACAGCTTGACGTAAAACTCAGCCTCAGCCTCGAAAGAACTACTTTTAATTTCCACTTTACTGGCTTACTCTTCGGCGGGATCTCCTTCTACAGCTCTACCAAACATTCAGTTAAGGACAGCTCCCGCGATAAAAGGATAATTGCTTTTCTATTATGAAACAGTAGTTGATAAGTAATTTCCCAGAGAAGAGAAAAGCAAGAAGAGTCCTCAAGAACACCAAAACAAAATTGCTGGAGGCTCCTGCAGTCACACCGCGCTGCGGTCGTAGCAATCTGGCTCGCAAATCCCTTTATCACATCTCCCAGTAGGTGGTATATCATTCAGTGCAAGAAGGCATAATCGAGGTTACACGAAAACACGGAAGAAAAACTCTTGAAAAGGAAGGAAACTGTCAAAAACTCGGCGTCCTAACTTATGGTTACGGTAGCGTTCTTTTAGTGTGGTGTAGTGCGTCGAGCTTTGTACCACGAAAATTGGGTCGCTCGTGATTTACGCGTTTTATCATGCGAGATGTGTGTTGGTTGACTGTATGGTGCTGGGCTAATTGAATAAAAGGTACTGAAGGAGAGCAGGAAGTTGCGGTCCAACTGAGTCGGGCGTTAGAAACTAGAACTTTCGTGGCTTTATGGTTGGTCTTCCTCGCTCTTGTGTGGAGTCGCGAGATGTGGAACTGCTTAGCTTGGGGGCCGTATACTACTCCATAAGGCAGGACGACCACCAATGTATGCTACTCGAGGCGCGGGGCTGGTGCTGGTGCTAAAGTGAACAGAAATAGCTTTGAAGCTTCCAAGCTATGAAGAACAGCGGAAGTGATTCAGCGGAAACGTAGGCCAATAAAGTGGTTCAGGTAACTACTAAAGATTAATTCGGAAGCATAAACTGTCTCGCAATCCCTCCGATGTTAGCCAGTGTTGGCAGACAAAACGAAGTTGCCAAAAGAATGACTGTATCTATAGTAGGTCAAACTAAATTATTTACTGTGTTGTTTTTAGTATCGTTCAACGACACAAATTCTTGGGATGCCGAGCTTAAGAGGTGTGGCCATCGAACTCATGTACATTGGCGGATATGCAGTCAATTTCCTCACGGTGCAAGCCATTTTTGTGCAGAGCAGGTTTACCTACTGCAGTCTGAATCCTGTTATTTTTTATGGTGGTCAGTTGCCAAAAAAAATCAGTGGCCACGAAAAAGAAACTAATTCAGCACCACCGAGTGGTATATGTAACCGACAGTGACGGCGAAAATCAAGGATAATGGGTAGTGTTTTTTTTTTTCTTCTAACCAGGAAAGGTCAACAGGTCAGCCCGGCCATTTCCAATGAGCTGCACACCATTGTACGCGTCTTGGGAAGGTGAACACAGAACTGTCTTCAAAATTTGCAGAACGATTCTCTGAACGGAGTTATGAAGGGTTTTATCCCCGCATGGTCGTTTCACGTGCTGTCGCGAGGAAACGTTGAAGCGTCTTTACATTTACGTATGGAAACGTTCTGAAACGTGGCAATAGAGCGCAAGCGGATAGGGAGCGGGTTTCTTAGGCGGGACGTCGTAGGATCGGTTCTGGGGCAGGTTCCTTTTTTGCATTTGTCCAAGAACATAGCCGACAAAGCTTCTAACATCTCTGCTCACCTGCACTACCTATCAGGGCAATCGCTCAAGTCAGTTTTTTTCGAAAGTGTAGACCCATTGCGGCCTGAAAGAGTGCTTCTGCTTGTACCCCTCGTAACACGTGTCACAAGGGTTTTTGTAATGAAATATCATCATATTCATGTTCAGTGACGGGTTAATTACCCCTCAGGGACAGAGTCTGGCCGAATCTGATTTTTCGACGCTCATTCGGAGAGTTGGCTAGTTCCGATGGGTAGAATCAGCGAAGCAAACTTGGAAGCTTCACGCTACCATGCGATGACTGTCTCGAAAGTGGGATTTCCTCTCGATAGGTGAAGGCAATCAGTGCAGAGCGGCATCAAACAAGTAATACGCCGTGTACTGTTGTGCGAAAAGGAATGGACTAGAAGAGTTATTTCAGTTTTGAAGACCAGTCCATGCACCAAAACTAGTGCTAGTCATAGTATCGATGTTAGCTATCAGTTAGCCATGACTATCCATACCCCATTTTTACGAAGTTGAGTCAGAAGCTCAGATTTCGCTAAGGTGACGTCCCTAGGGGTTATTTGACCCCCTGAACACGAATATGATACCTATTTTGCGCGAAGAGCGCTGGAGCCGCTACCGGTGGCCAACGCTTGTGCCAGCGCGCCCGTAAGAAGAAAAACAGTAAAGAAAAACCTCAATAACTCCGCTCAGAGAATCGTTCTGCAAATTCTGAAGGCAGTTCTGAGTTCAGCGTGTAAAGATGAGTACAGTGATGTGCATCTCATTGCAAATGGCCAGGCTGACCTGTTGACCTTTCCTGTTTAAGTCACACTTCACAACTTGGAGCAGTTTAGAAGCAACAGCTAAATGACTCAAAGACACGATCCGCGTTCATGTCATGTTCGGCGCCTTCTCTGGACACGAAAGCGCCTGCAAACAGGGAGAGTGCCTGCGAGGGTACTACTTTCGCAACACAAAACTGCGTGAGGAAAA